TTCAAATCGCCTCAAAATCGGCATGTAGACCAAACAGGACACGCTGATCACGAATCTGAAGTCCGTTCCGCGGCACATATAAAACCTTTCCCGTAATTGACAAATTACGGATCTGCATGCAGATGCCGGACCCTTTCAAGACGCCTCAAAATCGGCATGTAGACCAAACAGGACACGCTGATCACGAATCCGAAGTCCGTTCCGCGGCACATATGAAACTTTTCCCGTAATTGACGAATTACGGATCTGCATGCAGATTCCGGACCCTTTCAAATCGCCTCAAAATCGGCATGTAGACCAAACAGGACACGCTGATCACGAATCTGAAGTCCGTTCCGCGGCACATATAAAACCTTTCCCGTAATTGACAAATTACTGATCTGCATGCAGATTCCGGACCCTTTCAAATCGCCTCAAAATTGGCATGTAGACCAAACAGGACAGGTTGATCACGAATCCGAAGTCCGTTCCGAGGCACATATGAAACTTTTCCCGTAATTGACGAATTACGGATCGGCATGCAGATTCCGGACCCATTCAAATCGCCTCAAAATCGGCATGTAGACCAAACAGGACACGCTGATCACGAATCCGAAGTCCGTTCCGCGCATAGGCGCGGGAGCCGGGGGGGCAGTGGGGGCAGCTTGCCCCCCCAACTCTGGGGCCGTGGGGGCGGTGCCCCCACAGCTTTGAGACGGAATACCACACTTTTTTTGCAAATGTTTCCTTTTTTGTTGAAAAAGCCGAGGGGTGAAAAATAAGTGGCCTAAAACCGGTGAGAAAACTAGATTTGGGGGTACCCTAGGTTAATCTCTATTATGGTGTGCCCCCCCAGTCGGAAAGTAGTTCCCGCGCCCCTGGTTCCGCGGCACATATGAAACTTTTCCCGTAATTGACGAATTACGGATCTGCATGCAGATTCCGGACCCTTTCAAATCGCCTCAAAATCGGCATGTAGACCAAACAGGACACGCTGATCACGAATCTGAAGTCCGTTCCGCGGCACATATAAAACCTTTCCCGTAATTGACAAATTACGGATCTGCATGCAGATTCCGGACCCTTTCAAATCGCCTCAAAATCGGCATGTAGACCAAACAGGACACGCTGATCACGAATCTGAAGTCCGTTCCGCGGCACATATAAAACCTTTCCCGTAATTGACAAATTACGGATCTGCATGCAGATTCCGGACCCTTTCAAGACGCCTCAAAATCGGCATGTAGACCAAACAGGACACGCTGATCACGAATCTGAAGTCCGTTCCGCGGCACATATGAAACTTTTCCCGTAATTGACGAATTACGGATCTGCATGCAGATTCCGGACCCTTTCAAATCGCCTCAAAATCGGCATGTAGACCAAACAGGACACGCTGATCACGAATCCGAAGTCCGTTCCGCGGCACATATGAAACTTTTCCCGTAATTGACGAATTACGGATCTGCATGCAGATTCCGGACCCTTTCAAAACGCCTCAAAATCAGCATGTAGACCAAACAGGACACGCTGATCACGAATCCGAAGTCCGTTCCGCGGCACATATGAAACTTTTCCCGTAATTGACGAATTACGGATCTGCATGCAGATTCCGGACCCTTTCAAATCGCCTCAAAATCGGCGCCTCAAAATCGGCGATTTGAAAGGGTCAGGAGTCTGCATGCAGATCCGTAATTCGTCAATTACGGGAAAAGTTTCATATGTGCCGCGGAACGGACTTCGGATTCGTGATCAGCGTGTCCTGTTTGGTCTACATGCTGATTTTGAGGCGTTTTGAAAGGGTCCGGAATCTGCATGCAGATCCGTAATTCGTCAATTACGGGAAAAGTTTCATATGTGCCGCGGAACGGACTTCGGATTCGTGATCAGCGTGTCCTGTTTGGTCTACATGCCGATTTTGAGGCGATTTGAAAGGGTCCGGAATCTGCATGCAGATCCGTAATTCGTCAATTACGGGAAAAGTTTCATATGTGCCGCGGAACGGACTTCGGATTCGTGATCAGCGTGTCCTGTTTGGTCTACATGCCGATTTTGAGGCGTCTTGAAAGGGTCCGGAATCTGCATGCAGATCCGTAATTTGTCAATTACGGGAAAGGTTTTATATGTGCCGCGGAACGGACTTCAGATTCGTGATCAGCGTGTCCTGTTTGGTCTACATGCCAATTTTGAGGCGATTTGAAAGGGTCCTGAATCTGCATGTACGAGATTGATATCAATCTGCATGCAATTATACAAACGTCGCTATTTGTAAGGAACAACGCTATTAGGCCGCAGCCTTTGCAGCTATTCAATAAACGGAAGAAGAACCCCTGAATTAATATAGATAAAAATAGCCTCATTTGCTTAACAATAAGCAACTTTACCAGCCATTCTGAGTATCATGACCTCAGTTGACCTCGGTATTCTCAAAAGGTCAACTTGATGATTTTGCCTATTGCAGCCATTCTATTCCTGTCTTCTCGAATCAGGAACTCAGGAACTACCATGCCGATCGAGACGATAAAACCACCAAACGATTTGCCGTATGCACCTTTTCAATATACCATGGCCGGCAGCGTCAGGTCAGGGTAGGGGAAGCCGGGGGAACCCCGGGCGCGGGGGAAGCCCGGCCGCCCCGTTTCCGGCTAAATTATTCACCAGTAAAACGCCTTTTGGGCGAAGAACGAGCGAGCGCGATAGTGAGCCCTGCACGTGCGGAAGGCGAGAGGGTACTTCCAACGGGCTTGTGCAAAGCACCCTTCTAACCGGTCGCTAGCGGTGTGCCAAATTTGAACGCAATCGGCCCAGCCGTTCCTGAGATCTGGAAGCGGCATTCTGCACGTGCGCACGTGCAAACGGGGTCCAAAATGACTTTTGCACGGCACCCTACTAACTGGTCCCCAACCGTGTACCAAATTTGAGCGCAATCGGCCCAGCCGTTCTCGAGATCTGGAAACGCTCCCTGCACGTGCGCACGTGCAGTAGCACCCTAACCGCAACACATGGGAATGCATTGCCTGGTGGGTGCCTACCTGTATGCGAAGTTTCAGCGAAATCACCCCAGTAATTACCGAGTTACTGAAATGGGAACAAATTTGGCACCTCTTCTTTTTGTATTTTGCACGTGCAGTGGGGTCACTCGCATAGATCAAGAGTATCCGACCTTTGGTAGAAGGGATGCACTACCCTATAAAAAATACGGCAAGGCAATCGCTCAAGCCGCTGCTGAGATATGGGCCTCTCAAAATCATTACTTTTGCAAAACTGCTTGAACACCCTTGACTTTTCACGTGGCAGTGGCACGTGCCACGACGGTCACTGAGATGTATCAAAAGTAGTCTATTACGGGGTAGAAGGGATGGGGCTACCAGCAAAAAAGACCGCACGCCAATCGGTCCAGCGGTTGCTGAGATATAAGCCTCTCAAAAGCGTCACAGGCCGGGCCGGGCCGGGCCGGGCCGCTCATACTGAGATTTTTCCCTTATATTGAAAGACTTCGCTTCGCTCGCTGCGCTCGCTCGCTCGTAATAATAAATTTTAGAGTGTTTGTCTGTCCTTTCAGCGTGACAGCTGAGGTAACGCCAGCGTAAAAGTTAACGCTAACAAAAAATTATTGTTCAAGTTATAGAGCAAAAATGATATTTTAGGGGTTTTTAGCTAAAAACTGAGATATGTTGCACTATTAATGTTATAATATACAACCCTAACATTCATACGAATAGACTTAGAGACATGTTAGTGTGGAGAGCAAATAGATATTATAGGATTAAATTGGACTTACTCCACAAGAGAATCGTTTTCGGTCGGAGCTTTCGACATGTATTACATGTCCTCTTCAGCGAAGGTCGGTAATCGGGGCGAAAATAAAACGTTCGGGTCGAATCGAATCGCACAAGATGTCGGTGAGCTGCGCAGAGTTATTTAGGCCGCTTGAATTATAAAATAAGCAAGACTGAAACACGTGACGACAATAAGGACTGCATTCGAGCCATCCGCTACTGCACGACCATCAAAACCCGCCAGCAGGAGTTCGACTTCATACGCCGCAAGTTCCGTCAGCATGGCTACCCGCTCCCATTCATCGAGTCCACCATCCAGAAAGCGCAAGCGGATCTCAGACTGAAGGCCAGGGCTCTACCGTCACCACCAAGCTCGACCTCACCAGCTGCGCCTGTCAGAGTGTCAGTCCCGTTCGCTGGCTCATGTTTTTACCAGCTCAAGCGGGAAGCCAGCAAGATCGGCATCCAGCTGGTCTCCAAGCCGTCGCTGACCATCGGATCATTGCTCTGCAGTAAAGCCAAGCACCACTTGCCGAAGCTGCAGGAGAGCAACGTGGTCTACAAGATCGAGTGCTCCTGCCAAGTTGACGGTGATCCTGTGGTCTACATCGGCGAGACAGACCGTGAGCTAGGAACCAGAGTCAGAGAACACCGGGAGAGCTGGACTGGAGCTGTTCGCTCGAGAGCCAACGCATCGGCCTTCAGTGCTCACAGGGATTGTTCACCTGCCTTCGATGAGGTCAAGGTACTAAATCGAGCCAACCACTACCAGATGCGACTGCTGCTCGAGTCGGCGTACATCCGGACTGTGGGACGGCGGGAGGCCGTCTTGGTGTCGCCTAATGATGCGAATGTGAACAGAAACTCAGGTGCGCTGCTGCAAGACCGCTGGCTGCCAATAATTCGTCGTGTTTGCCAGTAGTTTTATAGTGTTTTAAACATTTATATCGTGTGATAGTGTTTTTTACATTGATCTCTTTACACTTTTGTACCCCACCTGCTTTAGCATCTTTGTAGTTTTTAACTTTTGTGGTATTTATAGGTATGTATAACGTTTTATATTTCTGTACCGAGATAGTATGTATTGATTTCTATATTTTTTAGGATTTTATTAGTGTGGTATGCGTTCTTGTTTTTTGGTAGACTTTCTCATTGAGTGTACTCTTATTGTCGTCACGTGTTTCAGTCTTGCTTATTTTATAATTCAAGCGGCCTAAATAACTCTGCGCAGCTCACCGACATCTTGTGCGATTCGATTCGACCCGAACGTTTTATTTTCGCCCCGATTACCGACCTTCGCTGAAGAGGACATGTAATACATGCCGAAAGCTCCGACCGAAAACGATTCTCTTGTGGAGTAAGTCCAATTTAATCCTATAATATTCATACGAATGTCATGAAAGGATCGTTTAAACCGCGCCCCGCTGGGGGGGGGGGGCAGAATCTGCCCCCTCCCGTTTTTCGCCAATAACTTGTAAACGCGTTACGCTCAAACTTTCAGTACCTTATCATACATCAATTTGACACGTTCCCTGAAAATTTGAGCGAAATCTGTCGGAATTTGCTTTGAGAAATTGACGTTTTAGTGACGTCATGTTCGCCATTTTCGCCTCAAAAACGGCAAAATTTCAAACGTAGCTAACATCTTCATTTTTAAAGGAATCAAGACGTAACAAAAAGGTTATACGTGATTCTACTTTGTCTATCAAATGGCTATCTCGGTTTTTTGAAAATTTTGGATTTTGGCCCAATTTTTTTTTTCTAAAAAAACTGACTTTTTTGGGAAAATAAATATAAAATCCAAAATTTTGAGTGTATCGAAAAACCAGAATATATGTCAGAGAAGTGGCCTATGTGCACCTACATACCAATTTTTAGAAGAATCGGTTCAAAAATGTGGGAGTTATTCAAAATTTTATGATGTCACGACACACAAAAAATGATTTTTTTTTGGAAGTTCTAGAGCTTATACGGAAACAAAAATAGCACCACTCGATTCGATGTGAAAAACTGCATAAGATAGACACCTTTTTAGGCCTTAACAACCAACTTCAAAATTTGACCTCACTTGACCTGACCTTGACCTGACCTCGACCTGAAATTCATCCAGAGGTGGTCCATATCACTTATTGAGTGTGCCTATTGAATTCTATTAGTAAAATGACCCATAAAACATGTGCCGCACAAGCCCTTTTCTATATTTTGTTTTTGGTGACCTGACCTGACCTGACCTGACCTGACCTGACCTTGACCTTGACCTTTGAGTGAAATTTTATGCAACGAATATTGTCTGTTTTGGTAGTCTAAGAACACGTTTTGGGCAATCAGTCTCAGTTCATTCTTCGGCAACTACGGTGCAAGGCCGATACTGTAGAAACTTGCATTTTGTACCCTTGACCTGACCTTGATCTGACCTCTGACCTACTTAACCCTCGCCGGACCTATTGGTTTTCTACATACGCGCCGGCCGAGGGGGGGGGGCGGGTACGACCCCCCCTCGCCGTTTCGCCCCTGGTGGAGCTAGCGCGTCGCGGAAAAAAACGAGCGTGTGCGCCGTTACGAGACGCAGAGATTGGTACCCGATTTTAAGGTCCTAGGTCAACCGGTGACCTGTGAGGTCAGGTCAAGTGCCCCAGGGTACGGTTCAGTTTTTGGTGAATAACTTCGCAAAAAACGGCCGCAGAGCCGCGATTTTGGGAGCATCGTGTTCGCCTCGCTCAGGCGCGTCGAATGATATACTTTTTGTTCGGGTCAGGTCAACTTAGGGTGTTGACCTCAGGTCAAGGTCAGGTCAGCACCCCCAGGTCACGAAGTTGGTCGAAAGAGGTCATGTTGCATATCATTCGATTCGGCAGGTCTTCCTGAGTCATTTGGTGGCTTTCGCGACTCGCTAGCTCAATTTGATCGGGAGTTATTGACGAAAAACTAATATGACCTTGATGACGTCATAAATGACGTCACGGAAGGTCAACATTGCAAAAATGACGCATCTAACCTTGCAAGGAGTGCATCAAATCACGATTCTGTGTGCTTGAGATAGTTGGAGATCGTTCCCGGCGCCAGAATAGCAGTTTTCATTTTTCCCCATTGACTTATAATGGTGAGGTCACGAAAATGACCTGACCTCATATGACCTTTAGGAAAAATCCGAGATATGCAAGTTGTGAGACTCATAATGGATACTAGATCCTGCAAGTTTCATTTTCCTGTGACATCTCCTCTGACAGTGAGGGCGTTGCGAAGTTGCGACACCTGAAGACCGTGCAGAGGTTCACTTATGACGTCATAGGTCAGTGACCTGACCTGACCCAAAAATGCGGTTGGTGTCAAAAGATGCTGCTTGGATCAAAGGTCAGGTATGCCAAGTTTCAGCTCTCTATCGCCAGCGTGTTCGGAGCTATCGCGAAAAAAACCCTATGGGGGGCGGCACCCGCCCCCCCCCCCTCGGCCGGCGAGGGTTAACCCTCGCCCGTATGGGGGGGGGGGTCGAACGAACCCCCCATGGTTTTTCGCGAATAACTCGCGTAAAAAGCGGCCGATCGCGACGAAACTTTCAGTACCCTCGCGTTCATCAATTTCACACCTACCCTGGAAATTTCGTGACCCTGACCCAAATGACCTTTGACCTGTGACCTACTTTTCGAGGCCATGTTTGGCTGGAATCGCGATTCGGCGTATGTCGGCTCGCATTAGCCGCGCGTTTGCAGTCTTTTCGTGGTTTCAAGCGTTCAAACATGTGATATGATGTTGCCCCCATGCATTAGGGTGGGTGTCAATGTCACCTGAAAGTCAGGTCAGGTCATTGACCTTTGAAGACCTCGGTTCACTTTTTCGAGTTTTACATGTTTCTAGGCCAGTTTTTGGAGCTGCATTCGAATTTAGCAACCATATGAACATTTACGAAGAAGTTTTGGTGCCTTCGTAACATGTTACGAAGCTGTCAGAGCCGGTTGCCACCTACTACGAATACCCTTACTGGTTGACCTGACCTGACCTGACCCGACCTGGCCTAAATACATGAAGACATGATCTGTGATCAAAACTAACATGATATTCGTGATCAGCACCCCGAAAAACCCAATGGCAGCCACACTTCACGACGTTCTAACAGGTCCCGATTTTCCCGCCTTTGGGGTCATTGACCTGACCTGCAAGGTCGACCAATGACCTAGGACTTTAAAATTGGGCATCATCGGCTTCCTCTCGTCACGGGCAACACGCTCGTTTTCCCGCGAAGCTCTAGCTCGATCAGGGGCGAAACGGCAAGGGGGGGTCCAACGGACCCCCCCCCCCCTTATACGTTCGCGGCTGGAAAAACACCAATACGGGCGAGGGTTAAGCAAAAAATTTGGGCTCTTAAGATCCGCCTTGTTGAGAGCTTTCGATTGCCGTTTTCCCCGTCTTTCTACGACCATCGGTTCGGAAGTTAGACAGGGGGGCAGAATCTGCCCCACCCCCCAGCAGGGCGCGTATGGCTGAATAGCCCAGCGGGGCGCGGGTTAACCCGCGCCCCGTAGGGGGGGGGGGGCGAAACGGCCCCCCTGTCCTTTTCGGTCGATATCTCCTAAACGGCTGGAGATATCGCCACTAAACTTTCAGGACCCCTCCGAGCATCAATTTCACACATTGTGACCAAAAATTTTACCAGAGGCTATGATAGGTTGGCCACAAATGACGTCAGAGTGACGTCATGTTCTGTCATTTTCGACCGAAAAAAGACCTTCACGAGAAGACCTGTCAGGACTACAGCTTTGAAGATACAGAAAAATGATCAAGACATGAAAGGTGTAGAATTGACAGGGCTACAAAACAGCTATCTCGAATTTTTGAAATTTTTGAGTTTTGACCCCCAAAAATCAAAAAAGCATTTGTTTTGGATATATACGCCAAAAAATCCAAAAAGTTTTTAGAGTTTCGAAAAAACCGGAATATATGTGATAGTGCCTACCGTCTTCTATCTACATACCAAATTTCAGATCGATACCTCGTTTTTTGGCCAAGTTATAGCGAAAAAACTGTTCAAAAATGATGACGTCAAATTTTCAAACTCAATTTTTGGCAATTCTAGAACTCGTAGAGCAAAACGAAGACCACCATTAGACTCCCCGTGACGAGCTGCATCGAATCGATACCCATTTTATGCAAAAATATCAACTTTGAAATTTTACCTAATTTGACCTGACCTTGACCTGACCTTCACCAAAACGTGACCTAGGCTGGCCCCAAAGGCTGCCTAACCCACATAATCGCATTTGTCATGTAAAATGGACCATAAAACATGTATCACACGACACATTCATATTGTGACCCCCGGTGACCTGACCTCGCTGTGACCTGACCTGGTATCAGTGACCTCAGATAGCAAAGTATGTGTTTGACGAACAATGTACCATCGATGTTTTTCAATAAATTACCAATTTACTCGCTTTCACAGCACATTTCTTGAATTGCCTGTGAACGGTGAAAATCTGACCTTTGACCTGACCTGTGACGTCATCGGTTTGACCTAGGTCAATGAAATTTGGTCACAAGGTAGTTCCCGGGTGGGGCTATCGAACGCCGTTTGAATTTTGAAAATCGGCCGGTAACTTTCCGAGATCTTAGGGGGGGCCAAAACGCCCCCTCCCCCCCACGGGTGGTAGGGTCCGCCGGTAGCCCTACGGGGCGCGGGTTAAGTGTTTGTAGTGAGGGGTGACGAAGCAGGCTGGCTTAACCCTTGCCGGCACATGGGGGTTGCATCAACCTAAGGTTTTTTTGCGAATAACTCGCGTAAAAAGCGGCCGATCGCAACGAAACTTTTAGTACCCTCGCATTGATCAATTTTGCACCTACCCTGACAATTTCATGACCCTGACCCAAATGACCCTTGACCTGTGACCTCTTTTCCGAGACCATGTTTGGCCGGAATCGCGATTCGGCGTATGTCGGCTCGCATTAGCCGCGCGTTTGCAAGCTTTTCGTGGTTTCAAACGTTCAAACATGTGATTTGATGTTGCTCCCATACATTAGGGTGGGTGTCAAGGTCACCTGAAGGTCAGGTCAGGTCATTGACCTTTGGTGACCTCGGGTGACCTCGGTTCACTTTTTCGAGTTTTACATGTTTCTAGAACATCTAAATACGCAGCTAAAGCCATTTTCGGCCGAAAAGGGTACGACCATGTTTCCGATTTGCTGTGCCAGTTGCGCTGGCTCAGCGCGGAGAACTTCGTCACCTACCACTCCCTGTGCCTGTTACACGTTGTCAGCAGCAATAAACACTCAACAGTCCTGTGGATTATTCCAGGTATTTACCTAACCAGTCCCTCGGAATATTCCAGGTGTCTGTGGCTGCTGCGTCACGCTGCCCGCGCTGCAAGGACAGACGGCAGCACACCGCACCCATTTCTCGCGTACACCGGACGTGCTATCAGCCCCCCCCCCCCTCCCAAAGCGGCACGCTCTTACATTCGGTGCGCTCGTGACGGTGGGAACAATCTTCACCTACCCATGTGTCGCCCATGATATCTGAGACTCGCGGTATATATGTGGCCACAGCCAGTGAATGTCGCTTCTGCCAGTTCTTCTCAGGGTAGGTATAGTCGGACCGTGCAGTGGCGAAGTCGAACGGTACACTGCAGTCTAAGAAGCTGGTCTTGAAATCCGTACGGTGTTACAAATCCGTACTGTGGTACGGATTTTATGCCTTTTTCCGCGTAATTCTTGTAGAATACGTGTGACCAGAATTGATTTGATTGAGCATTTCCTCGCATTTGCTATTTTCAGCATATGGCTTTGCGCGTACATTGTTGACCAGCTTCTCAATGCATTTTTTTGTAAGCCTGGTCAGTAGGTAATTGGTGCAATCGTGACAACTGCAACTTTTTCTCGGCTCTACCTATATCGTATCAGCTGTAAAATGCATGTATATCCGAAAATGTTAGCGTGTATAATAGTCACGTCATCGTCATCCTGTGCTACGCACAAATAAGGGGCCTGTATCTATATTACGTTGTGCTGTTTCGCTCCCCTTTTGTGTTTATGCGTAAATGCTAACATTTGGCGATGCCCCGCAGAGACCCGGAATCATGAAGGTGCTGCTGGTGATCGCTTTGGCTCAGCTGGCCGTCGGCTTTGAGCTGACCGACCCCGACTGGGTTGCCTTCAAGGTCAGTACCTACCACCAAGGTCATGTCGAGACTCTGTGCTGGGCATGCTTCAGGACGGGCTGACCTTGGGAGGGCCGACTGTAGACCATGGCCTGCAACTTGCAAGGGGGCGTTTGGAGTGTTGGTCATCAACTTAACTCAACTTGAATTTCGCGGCTGTTGTGGATCCAAATCATGACTCTTACTGACCATGAATGATGCAGCTGTCTTAAATTGCAAGAATATTTAATATTCATACCAAATACCAATCTTAAAGTTTTCAATGCACTCAATAAATGTATTTCTTAGCACTCGCACCTTTCACTCTTCAAAAACAGATTGCCTCTTGCGAAAACTCCAAGTAGGATTTAAAAAATTGAATTCCCTATGAATTACTGATGGTCGCGTTCTTCAAGTCAGCACTCAAGACTTCTAAATTAAATGAATTAATTCTTTAAATTGTATTCCGCGTCCCGCGAGGATAGATCAATTCTCGACTATCACTTAACCCTCGTCCGTATTGGTGTTTCGCCTGCCTCGAATTGGGGGAGGGGGGCGTTGGACCCCCCTTGCCGTTTGACCCCTGACCGAGCTAGAGCTTAGCGGAAAAAATGAACATGTTGTCCCTGACAAAAGGAAGCCGGTTATCCCGCGCCCCGTAGGGGGGGGGGGCCGAAACGGCCCCCCCCTGTCCTTTTCGGTCGATATCTCCTAAACGGCTGGAGATATCGCCACCAAACTTTCAGGACCCCTCCGGGCATCAATTTTACACATGGTGACTAAAAATCTTACCAGAGGCTATGATAGGTTGGCCACAAATGACGTCAGAGTGACGTCATGTTCTGTCATTTTTGACCGAAAAAAGACCTTCGCGAGAAGACCTGTCAGGACTACAGCTTTAAAGATACAAAAAATGATCAAGACATAAAAGGTGTAGAATTAACAGGGCTACAAAACTGCTATCTCGAATTTTTAAAATTTTTGAGTTTTGACCCCCAAAAATAAAAAAAAGCATTTTTTTATATATTCGCCAAAAAATCCAAAACGTTTTTTGAGCTTCGAAAAAACGGAATATATGTGATAGTGCCTACCGTCTTCTATCTACATACCAAATTTCAGATCGATAACTCGTTTTTTGGCCAAGTTACACGGGCGTAGGAACGTCATGAAAAGTGGGTGGGCCACCCTGTCAAGGGGCCTCCTTTACCAGGGGGCCTCCTATTTTCAGGGGCCTCCACTTTTGCCTCATCCTGCTGGCTGCTTTCAAGTATGACCTCCAAATCTAGCTTCAGGCAGATGTACCCAGGGGCGTAACCGCTAAAGCGAACAGTGCGGAAAGTCCGCACCATTTTTAAAACTTCTTCCCCCTCCGATTTTTTTAGAATCTCTTTGCCGCAAACGGCGCATGACCCCTGAAAACCCTTACACAAATGTCTTCCTCGTTTCCCAGGTGCCCCCATTAGCTTCATAGGCGCTCTCTTTGGCATATAAGCGCCCTATGTGCCTATAGTCATCAGAGACATCCCTATATGTCCCACAGTCGCCCCGTTGTCGCATACAGGGTGACGCAAAAAAAAACGGTCATCACCAAATTTCGAATAACTTCGGAAGTCTTATTCAGATCATCACCAAACTTCGGCCGCTTAAGGTCACACCTATGTAGCATACATCCACCAAGTTTCCAAGTCTTCACTACGAATACTTTTAGTACAGTGTGTGTTTTACTGACGCTCCACAATGTGCTCCAGGTGAGCGCCACGGCGTTGCAGGGCGTAGGCACACTTGCATCCGGCGGGCAGAGTTGTCGATAACCCGATGGCTGTGCACTTTACAGAGTGCAATGGCCTCTGGAGACAGTGCTCAGAGGGTGTGCTACCCCTGAAACGTTATTCTTATCGGGTTATCGGCAACTTTGCCCTCCGGATGCAGGTGTGCCTACGCCATGCAGCGCCGTGGCGCTCACCTGGAGCACATTGTGGAGCGTCAGTAAAACACACACTGTACTAAAAGTATTCGTAGTGAAGACTTGAGACTTGGTGGATGTCTGCTACATAGGTGTGACCTAAAGTGGCCGAAGTTTGGTGATGATCTGAATAAAACTTCCGAAGTTATTCGAATTTTGGTGATGACCGCTTTTTTGTGTCACCCTGTACAATGTGCGCTTATCATAGGCGTCTCTCTTTTATGGACACTTGAAGGCGCCTCTCTTTGCCATGCCGGCGCCCCTGTTTCTTATCCCGCGCCCCACTGGGGGGGGGGGGGCTATTTATAGCCCCCCTCCCGTTTTTCTGTAATAACTTCCAAACCGCTTGACGTATCAACGCCAAACTTTCAGTACCTTCGGCTGCATCAATTTGACACCTTGTGTCAAAATTTGAACTTCGTACCTACCATAGGTCGGCCTGAAATGACGTCAGAGTGACGTCATGTTCGGCCGATTTCGACGCAAAACATTGAACCACGGCAATCGCTCCCAAGAGCTCAGTTTTCAAGCTAGATCCAATTTCTTTGCATGAGAGGACTCAAAAGAGACTGCGCTATCACACTGCTATCTCGGATTTTCGAAATTTTGAAAATTTCGAAAATTTTATATAATAAGATTCAAAATTTACATTTTTACATTTTTTTCAAAAACTTTTTGACTTTTCGAAAAAACCGGAATATATGTGATAGAACGCATTATTATGACTAACTCTAGCAAGTTTTAGCTAAATATCTTCAAAAATGGCCAAGTTATACACATTATTGCAAAAAATTAACAATTATTAATTTTTCAAATCAATTTTTCAGCACGAATTTAACATCGTACGCCAATATAAATAGCACCATCGTGTTCCTGAGCTCAAACTGCATTCAATAGACACCTTTTTTGTTGAAAAATTTTAACTTCAAAATTTGACCTTTTTTGATCTGAAAGTGACCTGACCTAAGCCAAATTTGACTCAAAATGACCTCGAATGACACAGACGACATCAAATTCGAAATTTTTGGCCTAAATGGACCATAAAACATGTGTCACGTGACCGACGGATGATATAATATTTTCGTGACCTGTGATGACCTGACCTTGACCTGAAAATCAAAGTACAAGTTTGGTACCCTCAGAGTATCTAGAGCATCTGTTCACGAGTGTGTGAACCAAAAATGAGCCTGATCTGACTTGTAAGACGGCGGCCAGAGCCCAAAACGTGAAGAAGCCAAAATGCTAATAATTTTTACTTTGACCTGACCTGTGACGTCATCGGTGACCTCGAGGTCAATGAAATTAGGTTTCGCTCGACAGTTTTTCCGGGGCTATCAGACGCCGTTTGAATTTTGACGATCGGCCCAGTAGTTTCGGAGTTAGGAGGGGGGGCTATGAATAGCCCCCCCCCCCCAGTAGGGCGTGTTATACGCAGACCCCAGTGGGGCGCGGGTTATGAATGCACCCCCATGGCATTGATCAATTGCAATTTGCAGTATTGCATGTGGACGCCCATATATGTAGGCCTCAGAGGCGCCCCTCTTTCGCATTGAGGCGCCCCTATGGGCTTCATAGGCGCCCCTCTATTGCACGTAGGTGCCCTACTGTCTCAGAACCGCTCCTTTTTGGCATGCAGACGCCCATCTTTCGTACAGAGGAGCCGCTGTGGTTCTTAGAGACGGCATGGTGCTCCCAGACGCAGATGGGACTCTCGGAGTCGACAGCGTGGGACCTTCAGTCGCTGATGGGTGCCCGCCAGATGTGGACCCTCGGAGACGCCGGTATGGGGCCCTCAGAGATGCCGGTATGTGGCCCTTAGAGACACCGGTGTGGAACCCTCAGATACTTCAGTGTGATGCCCTTACAATTGCTGGTGTGGAGCTACGAATGCGCTGGCTTAAATCCCTCAGAGGCCGGTACATGGACATTAGAGCCCAGTGAGAGTTTTGTGTGGTGCCTTCAGTGGCCTTGTGGAGCCGTTAGACATCAACATGGTGCTCTCAGGAGCCGGTGAGTCCTCAGAGTCACCAGTGTGGGGCCTTCAGAGCACCGAGATACTGGTGTGGGGCCCTCAGAGGTGTCGGTGTGGGTCCTTCAGATGTACATATAGAGCCTTGAGATGCACAGGTGTGGTGGCCCACAGAGGCGCCGGTGTGGGGCCCCCAGAGCCACCGATATAGGGCCCTAAGAGACACTAGTATGACCCTCAAAGGCGCCGCTGTGTGGCGCTCATAAACACTGGTGTGGAGCCGTCACAGGCGGGTGGAGCCGTTAGAGGCCGGAAAGGGCCCTTAGATGCCTACAAGGAGCCTTCAGAAGCCGGCGTGGCACCCTTATGGGGATAAGCGTGTCTACTTAAAAGCCCTTGAGGTGCTCTCATGAGCTCTGTGGGGCCCTACCTAGCCGAAATATGGCCACGGCCAGTTGCCGCCGCATGGCTCTTCAGACTATCATTCTCAGGGGCCTCATCTGCCTAGTTTGAATGGAAGGGCCTCTCAGACCATCAGTCTCATGGGCCTCCTCTGGCTAGTATAAATAGAAGGGCCTGTTAGACCATCAATCCTAGGGGCCTCTTCTGGTTAGTATAAATAGAAGAGCCTCTCAGACCATTAATCTCAGGGGGCCCCTGTGGACAGTATAAATAAAAGGGCCTCTCAGACCATCAGTCCCGGGGCCTCCCTAGAAAAGTGTAAATGTGGATAGAGGGCCCCCTCAGATTCATTACGAGTGGACCTCTCTGACTATCAGTCTCAGGGGCCTCTTGTGGCCAGTATGCATATAAGAGCCTCTCAGACTATCGGTCTCAGGGGCCTCTTCTGACTAGTGTGGATAGAGGGCCCTCCCAGACCACCGGTTTCAGGGGCCTCCAGTGGCCAGTTATATGAACAGAAGGGCCTCACAACCATCAGCCTCGGGGGCCTCTTCTGACTGGTGTAAATATGAGGGCCTCTCATACCATCAGTCTCAGGGGCCTCCTCTGCCTAGTGTGAATATAAGGGCTTCCCAGGCCATCAGTCTCAGGGGACTCTTCTGACTGGTGCCGAATTGAGGGACCTCCCAGACCGAAAGTTTTGGGGGTCTTCTTTGGCCAGTATGAATAGAAGGGCCTCTCAGTCCATCAGTATCATGGGCCTCTTCTGGCTTGTGTGATTATAAGGGCCTCTCAGGTCATCAGTCTCAGGGGCCTCCTCTGACTACAGTGTAGATGGATAGGCCTCCCAGACCATCAGTCTCAGGGGCCTCTTCTGACTATTGAGGATAGAGGGGCCTCCTCTGACTAGTGAGGGTAGGGGGCCTCGGCTAGACCGCCAGTGTCAGGGGCCTATTCTGACTAGTGTGGATGGAGGGGCCTCCCAGACCAGTGTGGATATTGGGGCCTCCTCAGATCCACTAGGGCCTCTCAGGCCATCAGTCTCAGGGGCTTCGACTGATAAGTATGAACAGAGGGCCTCCTTGGATCCATCACGGCCCCTTGGAGTCCGTGCGTGGGGATTCGTGGAACTTATTTTTACCGAGTTTGTTTATTCTGGAAGGTGACGACGTCCTCTCAAATCGAGACGAGGGGCCTCGAGTAAAAAGTGGGTGGGCCAAAACACATGGTTGGCCCCCCCCCCACCTCGAAAAGTGGGTGGGCACTTGCCCACCTGGCCCCCCCTGTTCCTACGCCTATGCCAAGTTATAGCGAAAAAACTGTTCAAAAATGATGACGTCAAACTGACCTTCCGGGTCAGGTCAATGACCCAAAAGTCGCGAAAATCGGGACCTGTTAGAACATCGTAAAGTGAGGTCAGCGTGAGGTTTTTCGGGGTGCTGATCACGAATTTCATCCCAATTTTGATCATAGATGATGTCTTCATGCATTTAGGCCAGGTCGATCCAAGTCAGATTAGGTCAACCAGTAGGGGTCCTGCCGGGTAACTGACAGCTTCGTAGCACGTTACGAAGACACCAACACTGCTTCTCAAATATTCAAATGGTTGCTAAATTCGAAATCAGCTCCAAAAACTAGCCTAGAGACATGTAAAACTCGAAAAAGTTAACCGAGGTCATCAAAAGTCAATGACCTGACCTGACCTTTAGGTGACCTTGGCACCCACCATAATGCATTGGGCCAACATCATATCACATGTTTGAACGCTTGAAACCGCAAAAAGACTGCAAACGCGCGGCTAATGCGAGCCGACATGCGCCGAATCGCAATTCCGGCCAAACATGGGCTTGAGAAATAGCTCACAGGTCAAAGGTCATTTAGGTCAAGGTCAGGAAATTTTAAGGGTAGGTGTACAATTTATTGACTCGAGGGTACTCAAAGTTTTGCTGCGATCGGCCGCTTTTACGCGAGTTGTTTGCGAAAAACCGAGGGGGTCCGTTTGACTTTCCCTCCTTGTACGGGCGAGGGTTAATTAAAAAATAAATTCAGACAGCGCTTTTAGCGAGCACATGCATCCTCCTCAGAGCGCTCATGGCAAGGCGTACTCGCACCCCGCCGAGGAGGCCGCCCGTCTGGCCATCTTCAAGGACAACCAGCGCCTGATCGCCGAGCACAACGCCGGCAACCACTCCTTCAAGCTGGGCGTCAACAAGTTCGCCGACCTCACCAACGCCGAGTACCGCCAGCTGCTCGGCCACAGGGCGGCCGAGAGGCGCGGCCTGAAGGCGTCCGTCAAGCACATGAAGAGGGGCGTCACGGAGGCCACCAAGGATTGGCGTGAGGCCGGCGCCGTCACCGCCGTCAAGGACCAGGGCCAGTGCGGCTCGTGCTGGGCGTTCTCGACCACTGGCGCTGTGGAGGGCATGTGGGCCCTGGCTGGCAACCCGCTGATTGCCCTCAGCGAGCAGCAGCTCATGGACTGCTCCTACAGGCAAGTCATCTGCTTTAGCGCACCTGCACCATACCTCATGTTAATATCAAGCTAGAAGTGTTCGCAGACAACACTTATACCTCGTTTCTGTTATGTGCTTCCCTGTTCTAATGTAGTAAGGATGTAAGATAGGCTTGTGTAAAATATTTCATAGGCTAAAAATCTTCTGACATGCACGTAGTTCCGATGCATTTTGATGTCCAGTTACCTATGCTCGCATCTCTTGATCTCCTGATTCCGAGTTGACCCATCCGCCTTCACCTTTGTTAGTAAAGCTGGTTTAGCGCAAGCACGGCTGGATTACTGGCAAATTTACTTGCTTTTTTGCTTCAGTTAGGGCAAGATTATATTATCAGAATGTTTTTCATTAGATAGATTGCTCTCAGGCATAAGACTAAGAGAGATATCGCTATATCCCTGCACTACACGTTCGTCTGACTTTGCCTCAATGCTGGCCGGCAGCTACGGAAACCTGGCCTGCAACGGTGGCTTCGAGTCTGAGGCCTTCCAGTACATCCAGGACGAGGGCGGCATCATGTCTGAGGACGACTACCCCTACACCATGTCGTCGCACCTGCACTGCAACTACGACCCGGCCAAGGCGGCCGCCAAGATCTCCTCCTGGGTGCAGATCTCCGAGGGCGACGAGTCCGAGCTGGAGGACGCCGTCTCCAACATCGGCCCCATCGCCATCGCCATCGACGCCTCGCACTTCTCGTTCCAGCTGTACTCGAGCGGCGTCTACGACGAGCCTCGCTGCATGAACGGCTACAACGAGCTGGACCACGGCGTGCTGGCCGCCGGCTACGGCACCGAGAACGGCCAGGACTACTGGCTCGTCAAGAACTCGTGGGGTCCCAACTGGGGTCTGGACGGCTACATCAAGATGAGCAGGAACGCCGGTAACCAGTGCGGCGTAGCCACCGACGCCAACTACCCTCTGCCCTGAACACCTCGACATTATCGCATGGGTGGTAATGCTAAGCATTATCTGAGTGTGCAAAGTCTGTAAAAAAAAATTCCGAATAAAATCGTTCCTGAATATATGTTCTGACTTTGTTCACCAAATCTCCCGCGAAATAAAACCATATCGGGCACAACGGGCGAGCGAAACGGACTACAGTAGAGCTCTACTACTGTAGAGGACAAAGAATGAAGTTCTTATGATGAAAGGCCCAGCCTAAGCTCAAATAGACGCCAAGCCATCTAAAAATCATATTTGCTGACATCAATATTTCACTTCATCTCAAGCCTTTTCATGTGCGTTCAGCGGCAGGACGCATCTAAGCCGTTTTGTTTATACGTTCTTCGCTGTTTTGCCAGGAAGACAACACTTATCACAGCGACACTTTAGCGCCGACTGTAGTTAGTTATCCACATCATAACAAACGGCGAATCGTGTGGGATCGAGAGGGCCATCCAGCAATCATGCCCGCATCACGACACGCCCGGTACGGACCGCCACGGCGTCTATCGGTCCGGTCACGGCATTGCGTGAGACGTATAACAGGTACAAAACAACTGCAGCGGGGATTTAAACGCGTGGTGATAGGCTGTGGGCGATCGGCGTCCGATGGGTGAGCGATCAATGATGACCGATCATTGATCGATACGATTGGCGTCCGATGGGTGAACGATCAATGACCGATCGTGGGTCACGACGGATCTCGGGGTAAGTCACGTGAAGATCACGGGTGAGTCATGGAATTGATCATAGGTTTCGTCACGGAAACATCGAGTAATGTATAGAAGTAAGCACGAAGAAACAGTTAAGTTACTTGACTCCTCGATCGGAACCGCTCGAACTTCATATATTCAGCATAAGCAATGAAAACGTGAATTTTATGTAACCATTGTTTACATAAAAGAAAACCAGTAAGTTACTGTAATAGTAACCTGTAAGTAACCTCGGCAGTAACCTATAAATGGTCTCAGCCTATCGGCAGTAACCTTGACCTGGCCTCGACCTGAATTTCATCCAGATGTGGTCCATCATATCACTTATTGAGTGTGCCTATTGAATTTTATGAAAAAAATGGCCCATAAAACATGTGTCGCACATGCCCTTTTTATATTTGGTTTTTGGTGACCTGACCTGACCTTGACCTTTACCTTTGCATAATATTGTATGCAACGAATATTGTCTTGGTAGCCTATGAACACGTTTTGGGCAATCAGTCTCAGTCCATTCTTCGGCAACTACGGTGCACCGATAATGTAGAAACTTGCCTTTTGTACCCTTGACCTGACCTTGACCTGACCTCTGACCTACTTAAGCAAAACATCGGCTCTTAACCCGCGCACCGACGGGGGTCTGCGCCAACTTCGTACCGACGGGGGTTGCGGATGACCGCCCCCCCCCCCCCCCCTGAGATCTCGAGAACGAAGCAAGATAGCGACAAGCGGTAAACGGCATCGGATACGCACGGACAAGGTCTACAATTTTTACGAAGGTCATTTTCAGGTCAGGTCAAAGATGACGTCACAGGGGTCGAAAAAGTCAAAATGGCAGCGCTAGATAAAGAGATAGTTTTTCTCGAATAACTTTCGAATTAGTCATGATAGGAACAAACTAAGGGCATCATCGTGATTCTCTCGTCAATCCGCATCGAATGATATATATTTTGACCTCGAAAGGTCAAGGTCAATGGTTGACCTCAGGTCACGTGACCTCGAGGTCATCAAGTATATCATTCGATGCGTCTTGACGAGCTGAACACATTGAGACCATCCGCGCGGCTGTATCTTGTTCCTGTACGGAGTTATTGGCAAAAAAACCTTTGGTGACCTTTGATGACGTCACATGACCTTACAGCTGCCCAATAGCAAAACAGATCTCAAGATAGTGAAGGTTTATCGTATATGAAGTCATGTATGGTATATGGGGCCATTCCGACCCGTTTTAGTGGTAAAAACAGGGAGTTGATTTTCCCCCATTGACATTGACCCCCCATGGGGAGGTCGCGAAATTGACCTGACCTTAGGTCACCGACATCAAAATTCCGAGATAAACAAATTGTAGCTAGTAATGACCTAATAACATCCTGCGACTTTCAAACGCCTCCGACATCTACTGTAGCTCTGGCACGGTGACAAAGTTGCAAAAAAGTGACTTGAGGTTGGGTCACTCAAAGTGACCTGGTGACCTGACCTTCAAAGTTAGGATGTTCAAACTTGCACACCATGTGTAAAATTGATGAGAGAATAGTCGTAAACCTCAGGGGGGCGGATATCCGCCCCCCCCCCCGTCGGTGCGCGTGTTAAAGGGACTATCTCACCTTTAACATGGGGTTTGAGTTGAGATAGCCAAGTTTGCGGCGAGGTTCAGAAAGCACTATCTATCTAGGTTGCAACCCCCGCGGCCTCTTGGTGTTGAAGAAATTCGTTCCCTTCATTTGAAAATGGGCCTTGCGCAAGGCCCTATCTTCAACATGGAGCGACCGTTAGTGTGACGTCACCTCGTTTAGTCATTCTCATTTAAATGGGTTTGTTCGTTGAAAAATCGCTTAAAACTTGGTCTGAACTTTGTTGTGGTGCCTAGAGAGTAAAAAGAATCAGCTTTATGACAGTAATGTGGCCTGGGGAAGGAGGTAATTTTGGGCTGTGACGTCACCTATTTGAAAGTTTGTGTTTGGAATATGGGAAGCCTAAGATGTTTAATGAAAAATAAATGCCAGAACCGTGTTCCTGGTCATCCAATCTATAAAGTCGGGCACAATTTAACTGGTTTTAACAACATTCCAGAAGGTGGGATAGTCCCTTCAAGATCCGCCTTGTCCCTCGCCCCGTTGGGGGGGCCATTTTGGCCCCCCCCCCTGTGGTTTTTCCTGAACAGCAAGAAAACGGCGGCGCGCAGCGCCGCCAAATTTTCAGTACCTTCCCGGGCATCAATTTGACACCTTCACACCAAACTTCAAGTCTTAGGTCACCTTAGGTCAGGAGTTATTGAGGTCAAACTGAGGTCGTGTTCGAGCAAAAATGAGCAAAAACATGCAATCTTGAAACGCTCACCAAATCTACAGTTTTCAAGCAATTTCAAAGTTCTTTATATGGTCTAGTCGACAAAAAGCGGCGCTATAAAACTGCTATCTCGGCTTTTCAAAATTTTGGGTTTTTGACCCCTAAAATTCAAAAAAAATATTTTTGAAAAACTAAAAAAAATCCACATTTTTTTCCGAATTTCGAAAAAACCTGAATATATGTGATAGTCCCTGCGCTCTTCTATATACATACCAAATTTTAGATCGATATCTCGTTTTTTGGCCAAGTTATAGCGAAAAAACCGTTCAAAAATGATGAAGTCAAATTTTTGAACTCAATTTTTAGCGATTCTAGACCGCATACGGCGTAACAAAGACCACCATTGAACTCCCCGTGACGAGCTGCATCGATTCGATACCCATTTTATGCAAAAATATTAACTTTGAAATTTGGCCTAATTTGACCTGACCTTGACCTGACCTTGACCAAAACGTGACCTAAGCTGGCCCCAAAGGCTGCCTGACCCACATAATCGCATTTGTCATGTAAAATGGACCATAAAACATGTATCACACGACACTTTCATATTGTGACCCCCCAGTGACCTGACCTCTGTGACCTGACCTGGTATCAGTGACCTCAAATAGCAAAATATGTGTTTGAAGAACATTTCCCCATCGATGATTTTCAATGAAATGCATTTTACTCGATTTTACAACGCATTTCTTGAAATGCCTGTAAACGGTGAAAATTGGACCTTTGACCTGACCTGTGACGTCATCAATTTGACCTAGGTCAATAAAATTGGGTCACAAGGTAGTTCCCTGATAGGGCTATCCAACACCGTTTGCTGCTTGTCGCTAGGTTGCGTGGTTCTCGAGATCTTAGGGGGGGGGGCCAAAATGCCCCCCCCCCCCAACAGGGCGCGTTGCTCGGCAGAGCCCAACGGGGCGCGGGTTAAGAGCTTTCGATTGCCGTTTTCCCCCGTCTTTCTACGACCATCGGTTCGGAAGTTAGACAGGGGGGTGGCAGAATCTGCCCCCCCCCCCGCAGCAGGGCGCGTATGGCTGAATAGCCCAGCGGGGCGCGGGTTAATTCTGCATGTCGAGTGCATCTCCAATGTCATTCGCCAGATAAAACATATTCCTTCTTGTGTTGGCCTTTTCCGTTCTTCTGCTTCTCTGCCAAGACCCTCTCCACCCTCCGTCCTGTCGTAGTAACTTCCTCATACTCCGCCGCTCTACCGTATTCCCTACCCACCCTCTGCCACTCTGCCGCAGGACCGTCGTCCTTCCTACCCTCCGGCGCCCTCCTGGCTGCGGAAACCGTCCGTCCTATAAAACCAGTCGCCGCCGTCCGTCGCCACTCACTCGTCTCAGCCTTGCCACCATGCGGTCCGTCTGTCTGTCGGTGCTGGCGTGTCTGCTGGGTGCCGCTGTGGCGCCGCGGCCCGCTGAGGCCAGTCCCCACACCACCTCGGAGCCTGCAATCTCACTTCAGGAGCCGTCAGTCCTGCAACAGGAGTCGCTGATCCCGCTCCAGGAGCCGCCGATCCTGCAGCAGGAGGTGCCGATCCTGCAGCAGGAGGCGCGCATCCTGCACCATAGCGGTCGGCGGCGCGGCAGCGGCCTCCAGATGCTGATCCGCACGCTGCTCGACATGTACCGGAGCCTGCAGCCGCGTCTGGAGCTGAGCATCGCGATGATGGAGCGGCTGCTGTACACCCAGCCGGAGCGCGCCGAGGACCTGTCCGTCATCGGTGACCTGCTGCCGCTCGACCTCGACTCTGAACCTGACATCGACCAGGGCAGCGGCAGCGGCAGCGGAGACTTCTTCTTCTAGGGCGGGCCTGGTAGGATAGGATGTCCGGGGCAGGGCAGCATACAAGGTGTGTCATAGAGCGGACAGGCAGCGGCAGCGGCGACTTCAGCTACTAGTGCCGGGCGCCGTGGGATGGTCAGGGCAGGGCAGCGAACGAGGGCTGGTTCGGAGCGGATTGACAGCGGTGGCGCGGTCATGACCTAGGCTGCGGTTCAGGGTACAATTTTAGCGGCAGCGACTGC